GGCTAGTGTGAATCGGGCCTCTCCTTGGAAAGCCATCAATGTGGTACTACCACTCTTTTCTCCTTTCATCAGATACAATCCTTGTAGTAGTAACAAAGTTAAATTTGGGGAACATATTTGGTTGGGTCCTCCTACTGAAGGAACAATTTCCATCATTAGTTGCACTTTCTTGCTCCAAAAAATGAGACCATTTCTAAATTCCTGGTTCCTTCAAATTTGAGTAACGGATTCAGTTGGAATTTGGGATTCTGGAGGGGTATAAGAGACTATGAACTCTAGAATGTACTCACCTTACTACAAAAGTTGGAAGAATATGTTTCTTGATCCATCTAAGCTAGATAACTGAATTTGGACTTTTACCCATTCAGGTTCCTTATCTTGTTCCTCTAAATTCTTGTCCCAACCCCCCCTCTAGCTCTTTGCTTTGTTTTTCAGTAAAGGAGGTTTGGTGCAGTGTTTTAAAAGCGCAAGGCGAGGCACATGCCTTTTTGAAGCAAGGTGCAAAAATAAAAAAATGTTAGAAAATTAAAATAAGCCAAAAAATAAAAAAATAAAAATATTAAACATAATAAAAAATATAAACTTAAATTTTAAAAGAAATGTTTTAAAAACCTATTATCTAAAATTAAAATACATAAACATAAGATGTAAAGCATATTCAAATGAGAATTTAAAAACAAAATCAAACATATAAAACATTTTCAAGCATGTAAAACCTCTAATCTCTTTTTTCACTCAATTGCATTACTTCAAGTAGCTAATGTAATGTAAAAGATATTACATTCTTGATTCTACGAGCTACCTTTGTGCCACGCCCCTTGAGGCAAGCCCAAACAAGTCCATGGTAGGTGTTAAATTCTTAGTTCTCACACAAAAAACAATGAATTTATAACTTTCATTGCCTTTTAAGAAGATATTTTATTGCAATGAATGAATGAACAACATTAACAAATAGGGGGGCCTTGAGGGGCATGGCACAAGGGTCTGGGTGCGGACTAGACCCAGCCGCTATGTTCGAAAAAAGCGAAAAAGCGCCAATTTTTCAAAAGGCGCACGCCTGGGCTGAGGCTGGTGCGCCTTTTGAAAGGGCTGTATCTAGGACCTAGGCGAGGCGCATGCCCTAAAATGCGCCTCGCCTGTGTGCCTAGGCGCGCCTTTTAAATCACTGGTTTGGTGTAAGCCTGTTCCTCCTAGAATTGGCGCTTTCTGTTGGGAAGTTGTTCATGAAAAGATTAATACTTCTAATCTACTCCAAAGAAAGTGACCAAATTGGTGTTTATCCCCTCATTGGTGTACCTTGTGCAAGGCCAATGGTGAGAACTGTTATCACTTATCCTTTGTTCATTTACTTATTTTATTTGGGAATGGTCTCTCGCCTTGTTTGGGTGTTGGTGGCTCCCTCCAGCAAATGTTGGATCCCTCTTTCTCCAATTAGCAAAGAAAAGGGGAAGAATTATGTGGAGATGTTTAAGAGCGGCAATATTATAGACCATATGGGAAGAAAGGAACTCCAGAATTTTTCTAGAGAAGGAGAAGCAAGGAAGAATTAATGGAGTTGATCCTTATCAGAGTGGTACATTGGCTGGAATCCTTGCATTACCTTTTCCAATGTGTCAATGGATGGATTCTTTAGGAAGTGGAAGTAAGTGGCTAGTTCATGCTCAACGTAGCCCATCACCAATTTTTCTGGTCTCCTCTGGGAAGAGGGTTTGTTAAACTAAATTTTGATTGCAGCAGCTTGGGAAACTCAGGTTTATCAGGTATTGGTGAAGTGTTTAAAGAAGAGGAGGGCAGAATCCTAGCTCTCTACTTGGAACCAGTAGGGGAGGTGGACTCCCTTAGAGCATAAGTATTGGCTCTAATGGAAGGTGTTCAAAGTGCAAAAGGCTTGAACATTAGGAAGCTGATTGTTGAGGGAGATTCCAAACTGGTAGTAAGCTGGTTACAAGGAGAAGATTCAAAATTCTGGATCTATAGCAATGAAAAGAAGAAAGCAAGGTGGTTGACATGAGTATGGAAATCTCCTTCAATTGGGTTAAACGTTGTGCTAACTCATTAGCTGATGTATTAGCAAAAGAAGGGGTGGGGAGAGAATCTTTATTCTGGGCACTCTTGTAATTGAAGGAAAGATGGGGGAGAGACATGAGGTTTTATTTCTCATTGACTGAATCTTCTTTCTCCTGTACTTTATTTTGTACACCTTTGATCTATTAATGAGTTGAAAATATTGCTGTTATTGATGAAAAAAATTTCCAGCTTGGCTCCTTGGAAATACAGACATGTCTTCAGGGAAATTGACACCCTAGCAAAGAGATTCAATTCTACTTTTGGCTGGATAAGGACTACAAATGGGTTGGCAGATGTTTTGGCAAAGCAAGGAGTTGACAGACCTAGTTTGTTTTGGCCAAAATTGTAATCTGATGTACTTTGGACCGTTGGGAACCTGTTAGCTTTTTTTGAACTTGTAACTGTGGCTTGGAAGTTATTTGGGGATGACATCCCTGTCCTCAACTAGTATTATCTACTGCTTTGATTAATTCTAATAAAATAAGTTATTTTCTGCTGATAAAAAAAGATTTTGGAATTGTGATCCATTTTAGATGTGTTAGCAATTGGATATAGTTGCTTGTGTGTGTGTGTGTGTTTCCACCGGGGGGGGGTTGAGGTTTGGGACATCCTATGCATGTGCCTAGCAATTGAATGCGCATGATGAATGGGTATGATATTGGACAAAATGATGGCTATCCATCGTCATTTCTGATTCTTACATCTTTGTGTTCTGCTCGAAACAACCTGTTTTGTAGTTTATTCTAGCTTTACTGGATGTTGACCAACAAAAAAAAACTTAACTGGACAATGGGGGTGGAAAGACTGGTGATTGATAATTCTGATTCGTACATCTTTGTGTTCTGCTTGAAACAACCTGTTTTGTAGTTTATTCTAGCTTTACTGGTTGTTGATCAACAAAAAAAAACTTTACTGGACAATGGGGGTGGAAAGACTAGTGATTGAAGGTGATTTAAACTTGTGATAAGCTGGCTGATGAAAGGTGATAATGTGTTATCAATGTATATGAATGAGATCAAAAGATTTAGATACCTCTCACGATAGATGCAAATAACTTTACAATGGGTTCAAAGATCTGCTAATGGATTGGCTGATTGTCTTGCTAAACAAGGGTTAACTAGGGGACAATTATTTTGGGCTCACTTGTAAACTGCAGAGATTGGACTTGATTGCTTGCTGTAAGATTGTAAAGTTCAGTGGGGGTTCAGGGAGAAGCCATGATTTCTCTCTTCCATGTACTAATGTTGTAACGAGAAAGATGATGAAGACAATGAATCTAGTGACGAAGATATTTGAGTAGAGATGAAACTTGTGTTATTGAGAGATCTGTTGATTTGGAGACCATGGTGATTACGGAGGTGGAGGTGAGTAAGTCTCTGGGTCTATTCTTTAGGTCAAGAGGAACTTGTGCGGAGAACCTTTAAGGATCTAGAAGAGAAATATGGAAAGCCTAAGAGGAGTAAGGGTTGAAGATAATCATGATGTCCTGTGTCAGCTGGACCTGTAGGGGCTCTCAATGAAGAGAGTGAAGAGTCATTTGCATGTCAGATTTTTAAGAACACGGTTTTGGAGCTAGAGAGGATTAATTTAAGAATTTCAGAAAGGCTCCTCTTGCAGTGAGAAGATTCAGAAGCCATAGAAAACATCGAAATGTTCTCTAGGTTCAAAAGTTTTTACTAGATTGAAGGGGGGGGGGGGGTTGGACCAAGCAAGAAGGTTATGGAATCAATGGAAGTTCTTAAGACGAAGTACAGAGTTCATGTTCTGGATTGTTTTTCTCAGATTGCTGGATATTTGGTGTCTGATGGGGTTTTGTTTTCTTTGTTTTTCGGCCGGACTGGTTTTTTGCTTGTTTGAGCTTGTTGTATGGAAGTTGTTATTTGTTGGGTTGTATGGTTGTCTGGGTTTGGATGTTTGTTAGGCTGCCCTTTGGTTGGAGAATTTATCATCTGGGCTTTTTTCTTTTGCTTGGTTGTTTTTTAGTTTTGTAGTTTGGTTGGGAGTACATGTGTTTTTTCTTTCTCTTGGGTGACTTCTGGTCACCTTCCTTCTTTTATTTCTTTTAATAAATTTTATTTTATTAAAAATGAATATGTACATTATTTGTTTATATAAATAAATTAATGTTCTTTGTTGCTGATAAAAAAATGTTCACTCTCTTTCCATAAATAAAAGGTCTTTAGCATAATTATTATCAACATTGGTGCCTGGGAATGGTTTAGGTACATTCACCATAACTTGCGAGGAGTTGTATGGTTGTAAGATATGTCATAGTCTCCACCTTTCCTCCATTAATGCCTTAGGGGCTGTTTAATAAAGGATGAAGTTGCTGAACTGTAAGATTTATTGCTTTGTCTTTAGTTGTTAAAATAATTGAATAACAAAACTTTCAAGGATATAGCAGTCTATCCAACTTCAGTTTCAGCCATTAAGGAGCCCACAACCTGCTTAAAATCTTATTCAGTAGAAGACAAAGTGATATGCTTTTCAAATCAGCATATTCAGCTGTTATCAAATGGCCCCTTAGTGTTTTGATACTAGATTTTAAGCAACCTGAAACCTATTCTATGATTTTATTGGTGATTTTTAATGTAATTTGTTCATGATTGAAGCTTTTCTGCATCTTGTGAAGATAAGGTGATTTGGTCAAGAGAATATCTAGACGTCCTCTTTGCTGCTTGATTTGATTTACCAGGACTTACGGTCTTAAGCTTTCTTCTTCATTGTATGTCTCTACATTCCTGTATGTAGGGCTTCATTTAAGTATATTATTTCACAAGTCCTTCATAACATTTGTTGCTAAGCTAACCCAATAATCTATTATGTTGGACAGTAAAATCTGGTTGCTCTCATGGTTTGGTGTGATTATTTATTGATTTACTACTTATATATGGTATTTATCTGCTATAGTAAGTAACATGTACTGAATTCAGCACCACAGGTGATATCTATGCTAGGAAATTCTTATTCTGCTGCTGGAGGTCCACTGTCCCAAAACCAAGTGCAAGCAGGGAATAACCAATTAAGATCTATGGGAATGCTAAATGATGTCAACTCCAATGAAAATTCTCCTTTTGACATTAATGATTTCCCTCAGTTGACTGGACGTCCTAGTTCTGCTGGAGGTCCTCAAGGACAACTAGGTAGTTAATAATTTAACTTTTTCTACTATTGGATTCTTGTTTGGAGTTGCTTCTCCTGCAACATGATATAGTTTTACCTACTCACTTGCAGGTTCACTACGAAAGCAAAGCGTTGGTGTTGTCCAACAAAACCAAGAATTTAGCATTCAAAATGAAGATTTTCCAGCTTTACCTGGTCTTAAAGGTGCTTTTTCTATTGTTTTTTGGATCTAGACTGAAAAGATGATGTTCTTTGTGCGATTGATATTACTTGCTTTCAGAATGTCTTGTTGCCATAAATTATATTTCATTCTTGGTCTAGTATTGTTTTTGAGGTATTTTATCTTTGCTTGTGGGAAAGAAATAAGAAAGTTTTGGTTTTAGTTATTTTTCATTCTCTTCACCCACACTGCATTTATTTATGGAATAAATAAAAATAGAGGTTGAGAAAGTTTTTCTTTCCTCTTGTCAATTGTGGCACTATTCATTTATTTATGTCAGGAAACAAAGGGTGAAAAGTAAGCGGGATTTTTCATAATCCAGATTATGAAATTCTCATATCTTAAAGTACTTGTAGTAACAAAGACACATGAACAGCTTATGCATCCAAAAATGTACATTGTAGATCCTAGGAATTGGACCATCAAGGAATTTGAATTCTTGTTAGCTGCTTCCTTAAAGAAGAAAGAATAATAGAAAACTAAAAATCCAAGTATTTTGGTTAAGTTTAGATGTTGCACTAATTTCAAAATTAAAAAGAAAAAGAAAAACTAATTTCAGAGGCTGAGGGGCATGTAGGAAACATCCAGTACAATCTTGGTGAATTATGCATGATCCTGAAAAGGATGACCTACCATCTTACATGGAGTAGTCAAGCTGTAACTTCAGTGGATGCTTGACAAGGACCTGGTTTTCTCAGGAGTATGTGGTCCTCTCCAAGATAAGGGTTAAACCGTTGTTGTGCAATCTGGCTCCACTGGCCAAGGATATTCAACGAGGAGAGATTATGGCACTTATTCAGGTGTTGAGGTTGATGCATGCTGTAGATATGTTGGATTTCTTTTGGTGGGGGGGGGGATATAGGGTTGCCCAAATGTTGTTATTGGATGGGTGAAAGGATTATGAGGGCCCCTGCACCTGTGACACCACATCAGGAATGCAAGATTTCTGGCTTATAGAGAGTTCAATATCTATTCAGATTGATTGAAGATCAGCTAACTCATCGGATGTCTTGTTTATTCTATTTTTAAGTTTCTTTTTGCTGATCAATAAAAAGCACAATCCTATCTCTGAATCTCACTTATTCTATTTTTTTTCCTGTTAATGTACTCTGCTCTTCCACTTCTGCTGTAGAATCTGCATTTATGATAAAATAATGTTTTGTCTGTGTTCAATCATAACAGAGATCTTTTGAGCTTTGACTGTACCGAATGGTTTATCTCTTGGTCCCGCTTAACATATTTGTTATTTATTGTGTTGTCGTAGCTATTTGAATAATTTCTACAATGGGTTTATATGATGTTATCCTAATTCGTATTGTAATTTGGTGCAATATCATTTTGTCATAATCCATTTTACATTTCAATGTTGTATTTTTCAGTTCTCTTTATCTCAAGTCTTGACACAACTTTCATGCATTTTGACTACACCTGGAATGCATGTTTTTCTTTCCACTAGGATGAGGAATTTAGGATTGTACATTGGTATTGATTTGTCTGTAATTGTTATGAAGGTGGGAACAATGATTATGGAATGGATCTGCACCAAAAAGAACAACTTAATGACAATGCAATGTCTATGTTGCATTCCCAACACTTCTCTGTGAGTCATGTTTGATGGAAAATTGTGTTTCCTTGTGTTTTGTGTGAAAGTTATTATGTCTTATTTTTCAACTTTAGTTTAGCCTCGTAATTTCTTGCTTAAATTATATAGATGGCGAGATCTCCTGGCTTCAGCTTAGGAGGGACATATTCATCTCATCGCCAGCAACAACAGCAACATACTGCATCAGCAGGTAGTGGTGGTGTATCCTTTGCTTCTGCAAACAATCAAGATCTTCTGCATTTACATGGTTCTGATATATTTCCATCCCGCTCAAGCTATCACTCACAGGTTCGATCTTTGGTTTTTATGCAAAATATCTTTGCAGTTCTTAGCCTTGGCTACATTCCAAAGTTGCCTATTTGATTGCTTGTATATTTATTTCTTCTCTTTGTTTCTCTTCTCATAGGTTCAGAGTGGCCCACCAAACATTGGGTTAAGACCTGTGAACTCCCCAAATTCAGTTTCTGGTCTAGGGTCATATGACCAGCTTATTCAGCAGTATCAACAGCTTCAAAGCCAGTCCCAGTTTCGACTACAACAAATTTCGGCTGTGGGTCAGTCATATAGGGATCAGAGTGTGAAGCCAATGCAGACAGTGGCTGATCGATTTGGTTTGCTTGGTTTGTTGAGTGTCATAAGGATGAATAATCCTGATTTGACCTCCCTTGCTCTAGGAACTGATCTGACAACATTAGGGCTAAATTTGAGTTCAACTAATGACATTCACAAAAGATTTGCTTCGCCTTGGTCAGATGAACCTGCCAAGGGGGAGCCTGAGTACACCTTGCCAGAGTGTTACTATGCAGAACTGCCACCTGTGCTACATGTGAGCTATTCTGACCATTAAATGAGAGTATCCCCAACCCCATTAACTCCAAAAAAGAAAAAAAAAACTGATCTTTGTTGTGGTGGTTGCAGCAAGGGTATTTTGCAAAATTCCAGCTAGAGACATTGTTTTATATCTTTTACAGGTGTGCTTCCCCTTCCCCTTTCCCTTTCTAAATCTCTCATTTCCTTATGTCTTCCTTTGATAATTTCACTGACTTGGTAGATCATACATCTAATATGAGATATTTTCTTCTGTGGTTACAGTATGCCAAAAGATGAGGCCCAGTTGTATGCTGCCAATGAATTGTATGTACATTCTATGTTTATCTATTTGGTTCTCTATATTCTGTCCTTGACATCGCCAAATTATTCTTGTGAAAAACTCCCTTCAAGGTCCATTGGCCTTGTGTTCCTAGTATTTCTAATCATTATTCATGAAAAGAGGGATTGTAATGGTCCTTTAACTGATCATTGACGTTATTATTGCAGTAGCCCCCCCAAATGGATTGTGTTGCTAATTAGACGACTTTTTTTCTGTATTCTTGGATGCAGTTGCTAATAGCAGCATTTTACATCTCGGCCTTGTAGGTACACAAGAGGGTGGTTCTATCACAAAGAGCTTCGGCTATGGTTCATAAGGGTTCCAAATATGGAGCCTTTGGTTAAGACTAACACATACGAAAGAGGATCTTATCTCTGTTTTGATCCAAACACATGGGAGACAGTTCGAAAGGTGTGCACAAGAACACTTGCATGTTGGTTTTTAGATTTCAAAACCCATAATCATAACCGGTTGACTAATCAAGCCTTCCATATTGTTTGGTTGCAGGATAACTTTATACTTTATTACGAATTGGTAGAGAAGAGGCCAACCCTACCTCAACACTAGCATTTTTTTTTTCTTTTTTATTTTTCCAAAATGTAAATTTCAGTAACAATTGGCAACTTTTAGTAGGATATCATCTTCTTTTTTTATTATTTTTTTCTTTTGTTTTTCATTTGGCCGTTGTAGTCTTATTTGACCTATTTTGGCATATTCAAAAAGGAATTAGTCTTCGCAGTTCTACCTTGAAGGCCTGAACTCATCTTATGCTGGGTTTGTTGCTAAACTTGCAATCATGATACCAAACACAGGCATTCCAGCATTCTTTTTTATTTGTTTTAGTTTTTGTTTTGTTTTTTGTTTTTGTTTTTTATTTTTTTTATTTTTTCATTTGAGTATTGTGGTTAAGGGAGGTGCTGGACCTTATGGATTATGTTATTGTAAGGGGGGCTAATTTGCTATTAACATCATAGGTTTTTTCTATAAGCCACAACGTTTGAGCAGGATGTATTTATTCATGTTTAAATTTTAAAAGCTCACGAGTGTTGTGGACGTGATGTACCTAGTGGTGTTTGGATATACGAATTCGATTCTTTCTATTGATAAACGGAATATGTTTTCAGGGTTGAGTATACCTAATTGGATATGCTAATCCATTATAAACGAATTGGATACGAGTTCAACTCGGATTGGATCCGATCCGTTCGTAATTTTCCCGTCAATTGAAGTCAGGGATGAACTTGCATTGAGCTATTCATCCCTAAAAAATTTACTCAGCTAGTGATGTAGTAATCTAATTGGTTGAACAATTATGCCTTATTTAGCCTGGTTAATAGGTTATAGTTTTTGTTTTGTGTGGTTTAGGCTTTTAGCCATTCCATCATTAATAGCAAAACTCTCATTTACTATGTGTGATGCATAAAGTTTATAATTAGTAAATTCAATGTAAGTTGAAAATTAATTAATTTCTTAAAAACTTTAATTGAAGTTTCTATTTGGATTTGGATTTGAAGTTTCAACCTGTACTGGATTTTGATGTGGTTAGATCCAACAGTTGTAACGCCAAAGACATTGCCAATTTTCTGTCTTTTTTTTTTTTTACTTTTACATGGTTTTTTTATTTTTATCATATGATTTATGATGCCACGGACCTAGATGGTGTATCAGTGTATGTAATATTGGAAAAATATATAGACTACAGTAACAGATTTTTTATAAACATATCCATGAATCTTTTCGTAGTGAATTAATATAGAATTAATTTTTTAGAGAATTGATAATATTATAGAATACTTTGGTTATAAATGCACCAAACAAATTTATTTATTTAAATATTCTTAATATTATTAGACATCTAATCATATATTAATATTTATATTTAGTTTCAATATTAAACAGAATTTCTATTACAATAATCAGAGCATTTAACCTACTAAATAAAATGACAATAGAGTTACTAATTCCTTTGAGTACTCCTGTTAATTTTTTTTTGTTTTAAAAATTCAAAAAATACAGAAAAGTCGTGTCTTGGTTATTAAAAATGGGATAACTATATTTTATACACATAATGATGTGAAATCTATGATACAGAAAGACATGATACCGAATTAACCCATCAAAAACCCCAATTTTTTATTTTTAATGAAAACCCAATTGATTGGTTACCACTTTTATATGATGCCTCTTTAATTTTTTGAAGCCCTTTGTATATGATGCCTATTGATTGATTACAAAATTTTCCAGTATTATGTATTTTCAGCATCATAGTCGAACCCATCTAATAAAGATGCCAGATTGTTCCATGTGCCACCCCATAAAAGGTGATACTCATAGCAGAGATCCACATCCGATTTGAAAGGATTATTGATTTATTATCTTTGGCAGTTATTATCTTTGAATTCGAACTTTCAAATTGTTGTCAACTTTCAACCTACAGCTTGCTAGCTTGCACTTTGGGGTAGTGACACATAACCCCTCCAAAATTTCTTTTGTGACAATTTTGCTAGCAACCTACATATTGTTAGCGTGCCTTGGGCGTTGTAAAACAAAACAAGTACAAGAACCATGAGAGGTTAAGCAGAATCAGAGCTTGCAAGGGACTGAATGCACTTAGGACAGTCAAAGACAAACAGTCCCCGACCCTGAAAACCTCTTTGGGCTACAGAATGCGCACAACTATCATAATTCCTGTTCACAAAAGAGAAAAAAAAACAGAAATAAACTCCATAGCAGTCACAATATCCTTCAAAAAGAGACACCAAATTTGCTGGGACACAAGAGACTGTTTTTGGTAGCATTTAAAAGTTACTGGAAGTCAGATTGAAGAACACAGCTAGATAAACTGATCATCTTTGCCAAAGTCTAATCCCTGCCCCAACGCAATTGCTTCGGCCTGGAGAGCTGAGGCAGCAAAAACAGGTCAATAACAGGCCGCCACACAAAAACCACTGTGATCTCGGATTACAGCACCAAAGCTTCCCAAGTTATTTTGTCTGAAGCCTCCATTAACATTTACTTTGATTTGTCCTGCAAATAGAGGTACCCAAGAAGTCGTTGGACTCTGAGGTATCTTAGATGTACTCATACCTTCGGAGGAGCTCTTCGAAGTCCCTGTCATGAGCAGTGATTGCCTGCAGACATCCAACAAAATCATTTTTGCATTGAGGCTTTCATTTTCAAATAAGATTTTGTTTCTAGTTTTCCATATAAACCAAAGTAAGTAGGCAGTGCTTTGAATAAGGCTGACTGAGTTTTCCTTCAAAACTTTACAGGATTGAATCCAATTTAGGAACCAATCACTGAAAGACATGTCTTGAGGATAAACATCCATTCTAGCATTGAAGCAGCTCCAAAACCAAACCTTCTTAGCCAACTTACAATGGGACAGGACATGAAAAACAATCTTAGTAGTTTTACTACACAGTCTGCATACATTAGTATTGACAATTTTCCTATTCACCAGGTTTGAACTTACCAGGAATGCATTTCTGCGACATTTCCACAAGAAGATTTTTACCTTCGGCTCTGTAGGGATGTTCCATTTAGCTTCCACAGGGAGCTATTTGACACAAGGGCATTCTCACCATTTTCCGTGATCAGCCTTTGTTTTTCTATGAAATAGGCTGGCCTAACACTAAAGTTACCCTTAGAGTCCAGAGTCCAAGCTAAGACATCCACTCAATCTCCCCTAGCTAGATTCAACTTTACAATTTGATCTGCAAGGGTTTTACTCAGGTGGCTTTGAATTGCCTCAACATTCAAAGTCTTGTTCTCTTGGTCAATCAGTTCACTGAACTGGTTCAGGATTTGGACCCATGACTCTAAAACCTACCACACCTGGCAGCTAGTTGTCTGCCCAAATGGAGATGCCTCTACCCTTGTTGACTAACCAACAAGCCCCTTTAAGCACTATTTTCCTCCCTGCCATAATGCTCTTCTAACCCCAAGAGCCTTTAGAAGACAATTTATCTTTTAGAAAATTTTTGTTTCTGAAGTACTAGCTTTGAATGACATCTTTGTTTGCAAGTCTCCAACTCAAACCATCATTGTCTTTGTTTTTTGTTAGGGTATCCCAAGATAACCAATGGATCTTCTCTCTCTTCCCCCACCAAAAAGACCTTTGAAGTTTGCTAATTTCATTACAAATTTTCTTTGGGAGTAGGAAATAAGACATGGAATAAACTGGTATAGCTGCTACTACTGATTTCAGGAATACCTCCTTTCCCGCTTGGGTGAGATACTTCTCATTTCAATCATTTGTTTTATTCTACACCCTCTCTATCAAGTGGGAGAACAGGTTTGTTTTTTATCTAATATTTGGATGGGCTCCTTACAAGTTTGACTCCAAGGCTCATAGCTATTATCTTCGTGAATCTAGGGTGGGTTTTTGAATTGAAAAAACCCTAGAATTTGCAAAATTCACTTATTATCCAAAAGCTTGTTTATAGTTTTGGATGGCTTCCACCACATGGGCCCTTTCTTGGAGTGAAGCTTTGGTAAAAATATAATTGTTATTTGCAAAAAATAGGTGAGAAATGATAAGGCAATAAGCATTTAACTTGATACCTGAAAATTTTAAATTCTTGTCATTAACAAATTTGAGGATAAAGGTAAAATTACTAAAATGCCTTTCCAATTTTTAGTGTTTTTTGAATTTCTCTATTTTCTGTATTTTTTGTTTTTTTATTTTGTTGCAATTTCATCTTTTTGTTCATTTTTTTTTGTTTTTTCTTGTATTTTATATGATTTCTTATTTTTGTTGTATTTTTATCATTTTTTATAAAATGGTCTCATAAAATGATATAAAAGCAATTTGGGGTTTCAGAAATCAGAAGTGATGGAATGGTATCATGAAAGCAATGCATCTATTACCATATTCTAAAATACAGTTATCCACATCAGTTTACTCACTCTTGCTTTTTACCTCCTTAGAATTTTGTGATTTTTTGGTTTAAAAAATAAAAAATCAAACATGAATTAATTACAACTGATTCAATTTCCTTTTCATTAAGAAACATGTAATCACTCCCCAATATCAATATGATGGATATTAGACACATGGCGATTTTTTTTTTCAATTTATCTAATTTTCTGTCATTTTATACATATTTATCTATTATTGATGTCATGGGTTTACCCGTTTGACCCGTACGGATGATCGGTTGACCTGCAATCCGGAGCAAAAAAACGGTTACATTTTGGAGGGAAAAAAAAAATTAAACGGATAAAAACCGCTTGCTCACGGCTTGGGTGTTCATATTGTGGGTTGTTAACAGTTCTGGCAATGGAGTCGCGCATGAGTTAGAGCAAAAAGGTTTTTGCAGTAAGGCAACAATGGTTTGTCACCTCCCTGTCTGGATCTTGGGTTTCGTTCAGAAGTACCGTTTTTCTTTGATGGGGGTGTAAGTGGGGTGGGTGGTTTGAGTCTGGCTTCTGGTTTAGTTTTCTGTCTTGGGTTTGCTATTGGAATCTGTCCTTGGTTATATTGTTTCCTCACTTTTAATGGAGATATTCTTTTTTATCAAAATAAAAGAGAAGAAGGAAATGGAGACGCGATTGGGAGTAAGACCATTTTGTTTGATCTTCTTCTTCCTCTTTTTAAGTATTGAGTTGGTAATTGGAGTTCAGATCCTTGCAAAATCAAAGCTCGAGAAGTGTGAGAGGACTTCAGACTCTGTCAGATTGAACTGCAATAAGAAGATTATTGTAAACATGGCGGTTCCTAGTGGATCGGTAAGCAAATCTCTTCTTATTCAACTCTTTTTTTTTTTTTTAAATATTTATTGTCTTCATTTGATGTATTTGTGACAACGAAGTTGATGAGATATAGTTTGTTGTGTTTTTTCTTTATTTTTTTATTAAGAAAAAGAAGCTATCCATACTTTACTAAGTACATTACGTTGCCCTAATTTTGGTCCTGGCTTCGTCTGATAAATGATTAATCGATTATGGGCTTATTGAACTCAAAATTTTATCAACATACAACTTCATGAATGTGGTAATGTTGTTTTAAAATTGAAGCCCCACAGCTTATGAGAGTTTTCTCTCATTTTCTCAATAGTTTTTTTGTTGTCATGCTCGTGATTTGAACGTTTCATTTTAATTCTTCGTGAAATTTAAAATTCTTAAGTCACGATCTAGCATGGTGGTTGTATGTAGATATTGTACCTCTCATTGTTTATGGTCTATACATATTCTAACCAAGCACACATATGATGCATTCCTGCTTCCAGAGTGGGCGAGAAGCTTCAATTGTTGCAGAAATAGTTGAAGTGGAGGAGAACGCCACCAACAAGATGCAAGCCTTGAGAATACCACCTGTTGTAACAGTTAACAAGTCGGCTGCATATGCCCTTTATGAGATTACTTATATAAGAGTATGGAGACTATGTGAATAACTGATTAATACACCCTTGTTGGACTCAAGCGCTTTATATTTTCTCTGCCTTATTAGTCTTTTACTTCTAGATATATCTAGTAAATATTTTGAGTAGATTTTAAGTTTTGGTTTGGACCGCTTGGTGCTACCTGCTTATTTGATCCAGTGGAAGTAACTAGTTAATTTTGTGTTTATGAGGGTCAGAACTAATTTAATCAAGGAGTAGCAGTGAATTAGAAATTATGAGGAACTTTTTGAATGTTTATTAGTCCCCTCTCTTGTGTATCTTGGTTATGAAGTTCTAGTAAATGTGTTGGACAATTTGGTACAGAGTGTTTATTTCTTTGTTCTAACTTTGAATATGTACCAGTCTTATTAGAACTTATGAACCTTAGTTCTCTATTTCAAATTTCTCTATGTCACTTGGCCTAGTTACTTTGACATTTATTGGTTTGAATTTCCAGGATGTTCCATACAAACCTGAGGAGTATTATGTTAAGACACGCAAATGTGAGCCAAATGCTGGTTCCAAAGTTGTTAAAATATGTGAGAGGCAAGTATATTTCAAATATGCTTGCGCAATCTGACTATGTTTCTTATAGAAAATTGACTATGTTGATAAAGTAGATTTATACGCAAGTATCTTTTTTTGGTCTTCGTCCATCTAGTCCTTGTTGATAAAGTAGATTTACATTCATGGTCATGAAGAAAATTGACTTTCTTATAGAATCTTTTGCTACAATCTTTCCTCCTCATGCTTGTAATTGTGGATAAGTTTTGCATAGCTTGCCTATAACATAGAACCTGTTTGTTGTGACCGTTTTATTGAAAATATAAACCAATTGATCTTAAATCTCATGAAAAATAAGGGTTGTTCTTTGACTCCCGCAATAAAGTTTATCTTTTCAGTTGGCAACAAAAAGAGCTGATATATACAGGTATACAGTTAGAAACTCAAGTACAAAAATAGTTTATTACTGCATCCCTGATCACTCTATACAAGAACCTCTCTACCTCTCTAGCCTACTTCTGGCAAGAGAGTAATGAAGGTCAATCTATGGATCCATCTGAATGAGCTTTTCAGCTAGCAGCCAGGAATTTGCCTCCTTAGTATGATATCTGAGAACCGAAGGGTCATCTGAATTAGTCGATAGCCATCCAATCACAATTTGGGAGTCCCCTTCTGCTGTGAGGTCAGTCCATCCTGAGGAGAAGGACAACTACAAACTTTGTCGAAATAGGTAAAAGTCTTGGGTCTATGATTTCTTTTTTTTTTTGGGGGGGGGGGGAATTTGCCAAGAGGGACTTTGAGTACTTCGAGAGAAAGAGGACAGAAGAGAGGCTGAAGAAATTGGAAGATAGAGAAAGAGGAGACAAGTGGGATGAAGAAGTTGATGGGCAGGAGGAAAGTTTTGAGGAAGAGGATTAGGAAGTCTTGGCGTTTGGGCTTTGTTTCAGGGTCATTTGATTAGGAGCAGGGTGCAGGTGGTCATCTTGGAGGTTTTTTTTCCTTTGTTTAATATTTTTGGTATGTCGATGTCTTTGGGTGTATTTGTCTTTTAGTGTTTGTCTTTTCTCTTGGGTGATTTCTTGTCACCTTTCTCTCTGTATTCTCTTTTTATTTTAATGAATTTCTTTTATCCTTCTTTTTTTTTTGAGAAAGAGTTTGAGGAAGAAGAGGAACTAGAAGTCATGGTAGATCATAGATGCTATCCAAGTTGATAAAAAAATTCAAGTGCAAAAGAAGGTAGCTCTAGATACCATTGTTGATAGAGAAGTTCAAAATGGCAAGATACTGGGTTTTTTCTTTTTAGATGGCGAAGAGTTTGCTAAAGAAGTGTTTTTTGTGTTGGAAGAAAGAGACAGGACCAAGGATTCAATTTTACAACCATGGATTAAGCAATTAGGATGATGAGAGTATTTTGATTATCATGGGGGGGTGTCATGAAGATGAAGTTTTTTGTTATTTTGAGGATGGAGGGCTTGCTCTTGAAGGGGCAAGGAAGGAGTGAGGACTATGTGGAAATGTATTAGAACAGCTTCACACCGGACAATCTGGGAAGAAAGGAATTTGCAAGAATCTTTCAAGAAAAGGAACAAAGTTTCCTAGATGTCAAGGAGTGTATTTTAACAAGGGCAATTCATTGTCTGAGAACTTTGGATTCTTTCCACTTGTTTTCCTTTGATGACTTTTGGAGGAATTGGTCAGCAGTGGCAAATAGCTCCTCCAAGAAGGAAAGGGTTACTGTAGTTTGGACCTCATCACCTGAAGGTTGTGTTTAGATGAATTTTAATGGAAGTTAGTTAGGGCAATCCTGGCCTCTCAGGTATAGGAGGGGTTTTGAGGGACAGGGGTAGTAATATCTTAGCCTTGTACTTGGGTCTAGTGGGAATAGGAGACTCAAATTGGGCTGAGTTATTGGTGGATTTACAAGGTATTCTGATTGTAAATCAACTTGGTGTTGAGAATCTTCTAATTGAAGGAGACCTTAAGGTTGTTGTGGGTTGGTTAACAGACCCGGACTCAGTCATTTGGTGCTACAAGGATCTCCCAAAGAAGGCTAGCTGGTTAATAAGGAATATGAATACTAGCTTACATTTGGTGGGCAGGTGAACAAGTGCTATGGCTGATTATCTTGCTAAACAAGGGGCTTTGAGGGAACATCTGTACTGGACTACCTCATAATGTTTTGTTTCTAGTGCTCTGTTGTTTTTTACACTTTCAAGGGAGGTTGCATGAGTTTGGGCTGCTTGTAACAGTTCTCATACTTTGGTAATAAAATTACTGTTCAATTATGAAAAGAAAAAAAGATACAAGGTTTTACACTGAATGTATTTGTATTTGTACTCTTCCCAAATGGAGCCTATAAGGGGAACACAATTTTTTTTTTCTTTTGATAAATACCTTCAAAGTTTCAAATTTGCATACACTAAATACTTCGCTACAAGAAATTCCAAATACATTGATACTTGAAAAAGATTGGGACTATAGAGCATGATGAGAGCTCAACTCATAAGTCTTAATTGCAACTATTTGGAAACTATAAAACATGATGAGAAACATGGTCTAACTCTTAACTTTATACTTATATCAACATCAACCTTGATATTTTTTTTGACTATTAACAAGATTAAGGAAAATATATTCATATTAGCAAAAACAATTACAAGAGAGAAATCTCATGAAAGGGAATAACAAAAGAAAGGTATGAAGTACAAGCACCCAAGCAAACAAGCTAAATATTAGCACCTCCCTTTTATAGACATATCAACCTTGATATGTCTCTTCCTATAGTTGCTTCTTGAAACCATGAAGATACACCCCTTTGAAACTGTATTAGGCCTAAATAATATTAGAAATTGTATAAATAGTCAAAGAACTTGATGTAGAACTATATGGATATAGAGATCATGGAAAATATATTTTAGTAGAAGGAATTAGAGGAAAAAGATGACAGAAAAACTCTTGTATATTGGGATCAGCCTTGTTTTAAGTGACAGAAAAACAATTACTAGAAAAACTCTTGTATATTGGGATCAGCCTTGTTTTTCAAAACAGGGGATGCATAAGTCTTAACTGTTTGTGGTTCAAATGTAATTCTGATTCTCTAATGGGAGCTGCATCTTGCGCCTCTGTTTGGATGCTGTTATTGTAACCAGTAACCTAGAGAAAGAAAGGAACAAAGTGAATCGGAGTTTATGAATTTCCAAGTAAAATGGGATCTTGTTTTAACTTTTAAAGAGTTGGTAATGGCAAATTCCTAAACCTGTGACAAAACTTGACTCAACCTTTTGACTTGTGGGGTTATAACCTGGTTTTTTAACAATGTTCTCATCGTGTTAATCACTAAAATGTTCAATGGTTCTTGTGCATACATTGTTTCCATTGACTGGTTTGTAACATTGATATTAGGTTACGCGATGAAAATGGCCACATTATTGAGCATACTCAGGTGAGATGTGTTGATTTGTGGTTCCTTTTACTTTTTATATGGTTTTATTTTTATTATATTATGAATACTCTTTTTAATGAATTTCCACATTTATTTTTTGTCTATTGAAAGATCATGGAGGTTCTTTTTTCTTTTGTTTGTAAAGTCAAATATTTGGCAATTTATATCCAATAGCCAGTCTTCCACAATATGTGCCTTGTTGCAAATAATGCGATGTAAAAGATCTGTTTGTGATGGAAATAAAAACTGCCAAAGTGTGGAAGAAAGCTCAAGAGAATGCATGGTTTTTGACAAACTACATTGTGTAAAGTTGGCCACGTTTCATGAGACATGTTTCCATGATTTTGCTTGGGTTTAAAAATTTGATTGTATTGCCTCAAATTTCATGTCACTAGAAAAAGCCATTCATTTATAATCTATGCAAGACTGTGAACAAATTTTGTTCAAAATACAGACAGCATATGGCTATCCGTTTGCGATGGGAATCTTTGTCTATGAGTTGTTTGAGTTTAAATCTGTCTATGGGTTGTTTGAGTTTATGGCCCCATTCATTTTTTGGGAAGCCATTTACTTGGGTAAGTGTACTTATAGGTAAATATTTCCCAAGAATCACTTACCTGGGTATGTGCGTAAACCCATGTTCTTTTGATCAAAGGTGTTCCCAAGGTAAGTTAAACAATGACCATTTTTACCCATAAAATGCCATTATTATAAGGGGCAATTTTGTACTAACATGTTTTGGGCCTTTTGGCAACTTCCTCCAGGTGCAAAAGATGATAGGGAGTGGGCTGCTAATCCACTTCTTTTTCATTTTTGTTTCATGTTAATTTGACAAATGATGAAGGAAGTGCTTGTGAATCCAACAAACGATGTTCATGCTAATCTTAGGGTGTTGGAGAGGAGTTTGGTCGGTTGATTTGTTAATTTTGATCCAAATGTAGATGATTTTAGGGAGTGGGCTGTGGCTGTTTGGCGTCCAAGAAAGCCTTTGCAGGTTAGGAAACTAAATGCTGGATTTTTCCTCTTTATGTTTGATAGTGTGGTGGAGGCGAACTTTATTCTGGTGAGAGAGCAAAGTGAGATGCGGTTTCTAGATCTTAGGACCGAGAGGTGGAATCCCCTGGTTGATGCTATTAGAGATTTAGGCCCGTCAAGTTTTGTTTGGATTATCATCTTCAATATCCCTTTACATGCTTGGAATTTTCTCACTTTCGAAGTTATAGATGCTTGTGGAAGGTTTAGATTTATTGATGCAAACACAAACTCTTGGCAGAATCTAAATGTTGCGCGCATTTTGGTGGAAGCTATAGAGATCCAAATGGTGCCATCTTTGTTATCTCTTCACTTTGTTGGGGAGAGGTATGAATAAAGACTCGTCATTGATGCTTCCCACCCTTTAAGCTAGGCAAATAACTTTGATGAGTAGAGGAAGTCTAGTAACAAGAGAGCATAGTTCTCTAATGAAGCAAGTGAGAAGCCGAATGGACAAGTTGTGGAAGGAAGAAAAAAGGTTGATGATGAGGGTATTTTCGTTATTTTAGGAGAAAAATGGTGTTGGATTGATGGGTCATGATGAAGGTGGAGTTTGGAGGAATTCAAAGAGTTGTGAAGTGAGTGGGGCCGAATTGAAGTTGGTTGACTTAACTAAAAGGGCGTGCTTGCTTGTTTTAGTGGGTTGCAGTGATGATGTGGAGAAGGGGAAGGCAAGACATGTGGAATGCCTTAATGAGAAGGATGTAATAGAATTTGAAGGGACACTTAGGATTGTTGGGTCTAATGGAGGACCGAGTGGTGCCCAAGTCTTGAATGTTGACATTAATGGTAGGAAGGCAAATCAACTTATGAAGGGTAAAATTGACAAAAGAAGGTTTCTAGGATTCATTTGCCCAAAATTTAAAAGGCTTGGAACTTCAAGTAGAAGTTTTTTGTCCAGGGTAAGAAGGGTAAAGCGGGAAAGATGGGTCTAGGTGATTGCCGAGTACAACAATTGTGGTATGTTTTCTCAGTAGAAAGTATTAGAGAGTTAGTGGAGAGAAGAGAGAAAGAAGAATTTGGAGTCAAAAGATAGGCTAGCGGCACCGGCTCTTCTATTTATATTAGGGAGGCCCAACTAATAAGATAAATACAAGTACAAAGACAAAAATGCCCCTATGACATAAGTACAACTACTGTAATCACTCCTCCTTAAGTTGAGACATAGATATCAATCATGCCCAACTTATCACATAAGTCATTGTGCGGGTCTGTAGCAATATTGATGGCAAACTTGTTGTCACAATACAATTACATAGGACTATCAACAACAAATCCCAATTCATTTAATAAATTTTTTATCCACAACATTTCAATAACACAATGGGACATAGCTCTGTATTTTGCTTCTGTCTGCATTGAACCTTGCTACCACACTTTGTTTCATACTCCATGTGACAAGATTTCCTCCCATGAAAGTGCAATATCCACTACTATATTTCCTATCATCTATAGGTCCAGCCCAATCAACATTTGTATACACTTCTGTTGTAAGGCTTACTTAATAGCTGCTGTTACAGTTACAGTTACAGTTACAATTACTTGTTTTTTCTTCTTTCTTTTTTCTTATTATTTTGATTCTAGGATATGCCGCCAGGGGCATACTTGTAATTTCAGATTCTTTTATGAAGTTAATATAAATAGAAAACTGGCGGCTGTTTCTCTCCCAACCGTACCTCTCACTTCCTCTCTCTCTCTTTCTCTCTCTCTCTCCCAATCCCCACGAATCACCACACGGTATTAGAGCAGGTTCTCTGGGTTGAAAAAGACCTACGATCCCTCCTGCCCAGTTCTTAAAAGTGTTTGGACGTGGCTGTTTCTGCAGAAACAGCCGTGCTGAACAGGTGTGTTTTTTGTTTCAGTTTGTCTCAGCATTCTTTGGCCAATGGTGTGTAGGGCTCATGCCTTAATTATATAGTTATTTGTTTGGATGTTGGATGGTTAGAGTGTGTGAACTACAGTCAGACTGATTGTAATGTCTGTATTGGTGGTGCTGAACCGATTACCGGACTGGTTTATTGCTCTGTTTGGACGTTGTGTTGACTGAACCCCTTGTTCTCAGCA